CAGCAAATCAAATTGTCCCATGTGATCTGACCATTTTTTCCTTTGATTTAGAAAGCAAGGGAAGCACTTTAAGATGACCCAAAACATTTTGCGTACCAACGCATTATGATGAAGTGCAGCAACAAGGATTGCCCAATCAGAAGAAAACATCATCCATGCTGCATAAAGCTCCAAAGCAATAGCTCCACCCAACAAGATGCTCGTTATGTAAATATCAACGCTTGAGAAATGGAATTTCGACTCGTTCATGATGCTGATCAAGAAGAGCAGCAGAACCGAAAAAGAGCAAGCGAAGCTGGTTAGGCGGAGGAAGCATCCTGTCTTAGTGTAAATCAAAGCAGACTTGGTGTAAACAAAGTCAAATATCAACCCCAATTCAGCAGTAGCTGTTCCTAAGTCATTTGCGTTTTCTGAAAAATAATCGATTGGAAAACCAACCGCAGCATTTAGCCAATCTGGACCGAACATTTCCACAAGACATGTTTCTATCCTTGTTTTGGCAGTGGAAAGACTATAGGATAGGTAATTATTGACATCTGGTCTCAGCACTGAAAAAGCGAAATAGGCCATAAACACATCTGCGTTTTCTCTTAGAAAAAGTTTAAAGGTAGGTTGAGACTCATAAAAACTGAGTTGGGATTGAGAAAAATTAAGGAAGGAAAAGATTGGTTCTGTTTTCTTTGAATTATTGAGCTTTAGACACAATATCCTTTCTGCATATTTAGCAATTCCAGCTTTGATGAGGGGGAGAGTAAAAAATGACAGCCAAGAATGGGTCCATGACAAAGCAATAACATAGATGGCCAAAACGACTTTGACAACAAGAATGAGGAGGTGTCTAATCCGGAGTTTGTTATCTTCATAGGCATATGCCGTGATGGTGTCAGGACCACCAAGATGTAGTATGAGTAAGGGAGCCCAAAATGCTCGCAAAATGTTGGTGGTGGGAGATCCTGGACAGGAAATAGAAAGCTTGCCCAAAGTAGCAATAGCAACCCAGTCTGCACTTAAGTAGGCAAACCATAGAACAATTCTAGTGAACTGATTTTTTGCGTACTTCCTGCGGTTGCCTAGGAAAGAGAGGATGATTTGTAAAAGTAGACTCAAAAGAATCATTCCCCTAACATCCCATTCATTCCATGCTTTCAGCAACAAGGATGAAAGTGAACTCATAATAGAAGTTGACTTTCCGCTGTTCATAAAAAAACACGAAAATAAATAAATTAATAAATTTATGCTGGCAGCAAGGCAACTTATATTTACATTGATAGTCTTAATTACACTGTCCTAACTATAACTTTTTGTAAAAATAAATATTTTGTAAATTTTGCTTGTTAGATATCTAAGCATCTATTCATGAACAGGATTGTAAAATGTTAATGAATTAATTTAGATAACGAATAGCTAGCACTCAAATAATTAAGGAAATGCATGTCTTTTGGAGCAAAAATTAAGTTTGCAATTCATGAAGCGTAAATTTGTAAATAGAAGTTAATAACTAAATCACTTCACTAGTTTTCTTTTTAAAATCTAATTACTTATAACTTCGATCCATAAGAATATAATTATTGATTCATATGGGGTTAAAATACAAAATAAGTGTCCAAGTAAAACTAATTAAACTAAATAAAATAACGTAATATTTATTTGATGTAAAGTTTTCTCACATAATAATATTTAAGGGGTGTTTGGTTGAAAGGAAACTCTCCCTCTAGAGTTCTTTAATTTTTTTTTCCCTTACAAGCTTATTTATCTATTTTTAAATATTAATACTACAACAAAAATGAAAGTAAAAGTGACATTTTTAACCTTTATTTTGCTTAACATAATTTTTAATTCATAAACTTTTCTTCTCACACCTTTTTTAAGGGAAAAAATTTCTCTTAACTTTTTCTATATGTAGGAATCACTTAATAACTTTCCTACTAATTTTCTTTATACAAATTTCTTACCAAACACGGAAAGTTAACAACTCAATAAAATTCTAACAAAACTTCACTTCAAAATTTATCAATTTTTCACACAATACTTATTAATTTTTTGTACAATAATTTCATAACGACTTTTCTAATAAAAACTTTCTTGATAAAATTGACTCTCTAACTAAAGAGGCCCTTATTGTTTTATATATGAAAAAGAATGATTAAAAAAAAAAATGAAGTAATTTTTATGTCATGTTAAATTAGCTAGCTGGACTTACCTGTCCAACATTTCTGATCTTCAAGCAATGAACCAGAAGGCTGAATGAATTGTCAATCTTTAGTATCAATTCTTGTGTTGTATGCATATATAAACACAAACACTCAAAAAGCTTGAGGGTACTTTACGTTATTCCTTACTTACTTTTATAAACACATCATTCTTTTCTTCCACATAGATACATCCTAAAATGAAAAAAAAGTAGTAAAAGAACAAAACTAAAAGGGGCAAATTTATTCTCCAAAAGCGTCTTCAATAGAGCACCTGTAAACTTCTTCACTAACTTTCCAATCCAGAGGTGTCACGAATGGTGTTCGCGCCAACGAAGACTTATCGAAGTTTGATTAATAATCTCAAAAATTGAATTTATTAATAAGTAAATATCATATAAATCAAAATTAAATTTTAAGTTTTGAGATCAATGCATAAAAAAATTTATTATCTCCTTCAAATAAACGTGCCAATAAAGGAGTGTAATGTACCCCAAGTTCTAACACCAGGTTAAAACCATCACTTAAAATCATGGCATTACAAGCCTAAAGTTGAATTTGGAGTTACTTTCCCATAATGTTTTTTCATATATATAATACTTCATAAAACTGTTAATTTATTATAATTAAATTAATTTTAATTAATATTTTATATAATTTAATAGTCATCTTAATTTGTAAGACTCTTTACAAAATAAGTGTCAAATAATAACATAATTTTTATAATAAAACATTAAAAAATCATAATTATAACAACTCACAACAATTTCAAATATAACGTAAATCACCAAGGCAATAGGCAACAACACCTTACGCCATCAATGTTTGGATGGTCCATATTACGTTCAAAAGATAGGAAGGAAAAGTACCTGAAGTTATTCTTACTCCACTTATTATTCTTTTCCTTTTGGTAAATTACTCTACTTATTATATTCTCTTTTTTTCTTTTGTCCT